GAACAAGGCCTGAAGGAGTAGGTCATGACCTGACTCTGGGGGACCTTGTGTGCCAACACTAAGGAGTTGTAATTATTTTATTTTTTAGAGACAGGGTCTCACTCTGTCACCCAGGCTTGAGTGCAGGGGTGCCATCAGAGCTCACTGTAACCTTGAACTCCTGAGCTCAAGTGATCCTCCCATCTCAGCCTCCAGAGTAGCTAGTACTACAGGCATGTACCACCATGCCCAGCTAATTAATTAATTAATTAATTAATTTTTTTTTTTTTGGTAGAGACAGGATCTTGCTATGTTGCTTAGGCTGGTCTCAAACTTCTGGCCTCAATTAATCCTCCCACCTCAGCTTCATAAAGCACTGGGATTATAGGCAGGAGTCATGACACCTGGCCAGGAGTTGGAATTTTTGCCAGATAAAGCTTGGATGTGCATCAAATTCACTTGCAGCAATTATTTAACATTAACTAAAACCAACAAATCTGATGTCCAGGGACCATCCAAGAGCCTCTGGGTCAGAATCCCTGTTGATCTGTATTTCTAATGGCTTAATCAGTTCCTAATACACTCCAGAGCTTAAGTACTTTTGCTATGGGGAAGTATTTTTTTTTTTGAGACAGAGTCTGGCTCTGTCATCCAGGCTGGAGTGCGGTGGCATGATCTCGGCTCACTGCAACCTCCGCCTCCCGGGCTCAAGTGATTCTCCTGCCTCAGTCTCCCAAGTAGCTGGGATTATAGGCGCCCCCCCACCATGCCCAGCTTTTTTTTTTTTTTTGTATTTTTAGTAGAGACAAGGTTTCACCATATTGGCCAGACTGGTCTCGAACTCCTGACCTCAGATGATTCGCCCGCCTTGGCCTCCCCAAGTGCTAGGATTACAGGCTTGCACCACCATGCCTGGCCAGGTTTTTAAGGGCATGACAATCAAATTTTGTGGCTTGGAAATATCACAATCACACTGACAGAGTAGAGAATGGATTTGAGAGGAAGACTGGAGGTAGGGAGAGAAGTCAACAAACAGTTGATTAAGTGAGAGATGAAGAGGGAATGGCTTAATATCCCATGGCTGTGGAGATAGACAGAGGGGTATGGAGGAGAGGGATTCAAAGGCTATTAAGGAGTTGCAATTTGCAGGACTTGGTAACTGACAATATGTGGGTGCAAAAGAGGGAGGAGTTAAGGGTGATTTCCAGGTCTCCGACTTTGACCTCTACATCAATAGTGATGTGTAGCACAGCCACCAACTGAGATTATTTTCTACAAGAACCCCTTTTCTATCCCTCACACTACCTGGCAAGTGCCAGGCCCAGAGAAAGTGCTTAGTGAACACAAAAGCAAATGTGGCTAACGGGAGTTAAGGCCCCCAGGACCCTTATCCCCAAGTAAGCTTTCCCTTTATTTTTTTGCACAATGGCTGAAATTCCAGCTTTATGGACAATCTTTTTCCTGCACGTCTTATTCACTGCTGCAAGTTCTTGGAATTTAGTCTCCACAGTGGCTGTGGAAAGACTCTTTAGAGAATTTTTTTTGAGATGAGATCTCACTACATTGCCCGGGCTGGCCTCAGCCTCCCTAGTAGCTAGGACTACAGGTCTGCACCACCACATCCCCACCAAAAGATTTGTTTATGTTGAATAGAAAGTAGTAGACTTTCAAAATGTTTTATTTAACTAGTTTCTTTTTCTTTTTTAAGTGTAGTTATATGATCACATTGGGAAACCCTTAGAAGAAACATACATTGGATACCTATCCCAGGATCAGACAGAATCCTTTTCATTATAGAATTGCAATTAGGGAAGGGAAAGGGGAAAAATGGGTTTCTCTGCTTTTCTTGGACTGTCTCATTCAAGATCCTGTGGTTGGATTGTCTTTTGGTTATGTATCATTATAAAAGGTTCTGAAGCTTAGAAAGAAGCTAGGGTGGCTGGGCGCGGTGGCTCACGCCTGTAATCCCAGCACTTTGGGAGGTCAAGGCAGGTGGATCACGAGGTTGGGAGATCGAGACCATCCTGGCCAACATGGTGAAACCCCGTCTCTACTAAAAATACAAAAATTAGCCAGGTGTGGTGGCACGCGTCTGTAGTCCCAGCTACTCAGGAGGCTGAGGTAGGAGAATTACTTGAACCCAGGAGGCGGAGGTTGCAGTGAGCTGAGATCATGCCACTGTACTCCAGCCTGGCGAAAGGGGGAGATTCTGTCTAGAAAGAAAGAAAAGAAAGAAAGAAAGAAAAGAAAGAAAGAAAGAAAGAAAGAAAGAAAGAAAGAAAGAAAGAAAGAAGGGAGGGAGGGAGGGGAGGGAGGGAGGGAAGGAAGAAGAAAGAAAAGAAAGAAAGAAGCTAGGACATTTTTAATATTGGTTTAGTGCTTTCTCTGACCTGAAACAAAAGTAAGCAAAGATATCAGGATGATAATTCTCCCCATTTTTGTTTCATCTCCTGTTTTCTACTCTTAAATTGTGATACAAGCAATTCAGCTGTAGAAAAAAAATTAATTTCTCCAGATCCTTTAAGTTGCTTTTAACTTGTGAGGTTCAGTGGCCCTTTGGTTCAGTGGAAGATGGAAGGAAGGAAGGAAGGAAGGAAGGGAGGGAGGGAGGGAGGGAGGGGCAGACTAGCTGAGAGGGGAGCTTTTTGAAATCTTGACTCTCAGGCTGCATCCCAGATCAATTAAATCAGAATCTCTGGGGGTGTCACCCAGGTGGTAGTATTTAAATCTCCCCAGGTAATTTCAACGTGCGGCCAATGTTGAGAATGATCACACTAATCAGATAAACTCCATGTGATCATAAATTTCAAGCCCCAAATCAGAACATCAATAATAGCTATCATTTCTCGAGTGCCTACTCTGACAGGCACTCTAATATACCTTGTCCTTTTTCTCTCAGGAAAAGCCTTAGTTGCGTGAGGGTGTAATTCCTTTTCACATTTGAGAAACAGAGGAGGTAGGTAGCTTATTCTACATCACATAGCTAATGTCTGCTTGACTCCAAAGTCCAGATTCTGTAGCTCAGCTGACTACCAAAATAGTGTGAGGGTTGATAGATTTTTGTGTTTTAGGTAGGAGACAATTGTGTATTTTATGTCAAGCATCAAAAAGTTGAGAATTCATAAACATATCAATGGTTTATGGGGAAAATAGGCAGCAAATCAAAATCAGAGATGTTTTAGATTCTGAGACATGTGTTAGCTATACACCTGCCATCTCCTGAACCTTTGATGTTGGATTCAGAGAAGGAAGCTTAGAGTAAGAATAGGTATTATCATCCCCATTTTCCAGCTGAGAAAACTGAGGCTTGGCAAGATTGTTACTTGCCCAAGATCAGACATCTAGGAAACCAACAGAGTAGATCTGTGTTGCTCTATGCCCATGGTCTTAATCACTATACCATACTGATTCCTGATGAGCATTGAAGAGTAGAAGGAAGTGGTATGATGATATATTGGATGGAAAGTTATCCTAAGTTTGGAATCTGGCAAGGAAAAAGGTACCAACCGCTGCCTAAAACTTTCTGCAATCTTGTTATTGAGTAAGATGTTTTCCTAGATGAATTGTCCTGGGGTGCACCATTAGACTGTAGAATCTGGAGTTTTCTTTAAGTCGTTGAACCATAATATCATCTGAAAATTGTTTTTAATGATATAAACATCAATGAAATCATGTATTAAAGAAAAATTTGCTCATAATTATATCATCCTGAAATATAAAGGTGCCTTCTTTTATCTATGCTCTGCTCTATCTGGTCCACATATTTATGCTTATATTATGTTCACACTGGTATGATACCCGGGAATCATTTAAGGCCTTTTATCACCTGACACCATGTTATAAAGATTGCCTCATGCTGCTATATAGTCTTTACATTGGTCATTTTTGTATTATTTCATTGAGCACTTGGGACATAATTTAGCTAATTGCCTATTTGGGGGGGCATTTGGTTTGTTTTTAATTTTCAATATTATAAATCATAGTATTATGATCACCATTTTGCATGTAATTTTTTTTGAATATGGGGCCATTTCTTTAGGATAAATCCTTCCAAATGAGATGTTTTTTCTCATTTATTTCTTTATTCATTTGTTTATTGAGACGGGGCTCGCTGTGTTGCCCAGGCTGCATTTGAATTCGTGGGCTCAAGTGATCTCCTGTCACAGCCTCCTCAGCTGGGACCACAGGCACGTGCCAGTACACCTGACTCCAAGATGGTTTTAGAGTTTAAATAAAGCTTAAGGCCAGGCACAGTGGCTTATGCCTGTAATCCCAGCACTTGAGGAGGCCGAGGCAGGCAGATCACTTGAGGTCAGGAGTTTGAGACCAGTCTGACCAACATGGCAAAACCCCATCTCTACAAAAAATACAAAAATTAGCTGGGCATGGTGGCAGCCTCTTGTAATCTCAGCTACTCAGGAGGCTGAGGCAGGAGAATCGCTTGAACCCTGGAGGTGGAGGTTTCAGTGAGCTGAGATTACACCACTGCACTCCAGCCTGGGCGACAGAGTAAGACTGTCTCCAAAAAAAAGTTTAATAAAGTTTTTAAAGTTTAATGATACAAAACTTTGATTTATAAAACTAATGTATGCTCTGGATATGCAAATATGTAAGATTATTACCCCCTTTGTCTATCTGTAGTGATAATGGTTATTTACGTTTTCTAAATTGAAGCAAGTTATAAGAAGTTTTTTGTATCAGAAATAGGCTTGGATCTCTTTTATTCTTTTTGAAATGGAGAAGTTAAGCTACTAATTTTGTTTTCTTGCTTTGGTTAGAGACCTGCAGAATTCAATCAGATGGATTCTCACACCTGTTTGCAGGTGACTGCCTCTGGCCCTGTTGCTCATCCTGTTTGCTCAGCAAGAGAGCCTGTTGGTTTTTACTTGATAAATGTACGAATCTTGAGAGTTGGAGAATCAGTAGCCCACCTCAACACTGACATGCTTTGTGTTTTTGAGAAAGCTACCTTCATTTGCTATGATGTCTGGCTAACAAAGATCTTTTTCATTTTGTTTCAGGGACAGTTGGATTTTTTTCCTGTTTCTGGTTAATTGCTAAAATCTACAGTGTGCTGAAGGTGGAGTAAAGTATTTCCCCAAAGGGTTCCAAGCACATCTCCCTTGCCCTTGAATATCTGTATATCTATATGAACATCAATTGAGATATATATGTGTGTGCTTCTAATTACATAATTTTAAGCATATATATGTAAATGTAAAATCTCATTGTTTGGCCTCAGTTTGTATGACACAAAATACTGATTGTATGGAAGAAAACAGGTTGGGAAACAGATTTATTCTACATCATATTTTCCTGAAAAGCTACAATAAAAAGATTTAAATTAAAGCAATTAGAGCAAGGGAGGCACATTTCTTTAAAAAAATTAAAGTTGAGTACCACACTGGTTTTTCAGATGAAGTTTTCTTTCTTTTCCTTTTTCTCCTTCATATTGTTCAGAGCATCTAATTCCATCAGAACTATTGTCAAATAAATTTTAGGTAAAATGCATATTTTTCTGATGGGAGTTGATTATACAAACTGTATTACACCTTCGTATGTGAGTGATCATTTAAAAATGCATATTGGTTTAGCACATAGAGTTTATGAAATGCCAGATAATGCTCTTATTCCTCAGTGAAATCTGCACATTTCTAGTTGTTAGTTGTCTATTTCTATTTGCCATTCCTTGGGGGGCTGAGAATGTTCAAATTTGACTTAGTTGTGTTTAAATAATAAATCTTTGGAGTCAATTTTCTTGGGTTTATTTGCTTTGCCTAAACAATAGTCAGGTATCACATCTCCTAAAATGCTGGGAATTTATATTGCAAATATTCTTCTAGCTTGTAGTTTTGGGGGAGCAGCCATGAAAATCACACATTTTCTACATCAAATTGTATTGATAAATATAGGTCTCATTTAGGAAAATGTTTGAAAAATGTCTACATATACCCTTCAATTAAAGGCTATTCTCAAAGCCATCCTTAAGCTGAGGAGTACTTGTTTGTCTGTGCAGGGATCAAAGAGTTTATGTTGCCCCTGGATGGGAGATTGGAATGAGGAGGGACAGGGTCAGAGAGTTGCATTCTGAAAGAGAGTGAAAGGAGGAGAAGGAGTTTACTAGTTACCTCATGGAAGAAGAAAATAATTCACTAGCCAGTAATGTGTCTGTATTGGAAGGGTCAGGGCTATGACTGGTGGCAAATGGGCCTGGGGCCTAGAGCAGCCTGGTGGGGCAGGGAATGGCTACAGAAGGCTACAGAAGGTTTCTCGACAGTGGAATTTTCACCCTCTCTAAACCCTCTCCTATTCAGTCTCATAACCTACGGCTGAGCCCTTAGCCCTGCTTGACGAGAGAAACTGCTGTAATGAGGCCCATTGGAGCCAATTCTATTCTCCTCTAAATACTCTGAACTAAGTAGTGGTATACTGAGCTTCAGGGACCTCTTTTCCCACCAGCTTGCCTGCTTAATTGTTTTATCTGAGCTCCCAAGCCCACTTATTTGCATTGATGGTAGTAGTTTGCTAGAAAGGCACATTTATTTCTGCAGCAGGAAAATGTCATTGCCTAGATGGCGTTCACAGATTAAAGTGAAGGCAGTCACCTGCAGGTCTCATGGCAGCCATCTTTGAACATCTTGAAATAGTAAGTCAGCATTTAGCTTGATTTTGGAGTGAAAAATGGAGAAGAACACTTTACTTTGATTGCAATGGGGCTGAATAGCTCCCAGTGTGGGCCCACCAATACCACTTTGGAGGCAGGAGGCATGCAGTTCCTTGCTCTGCTACCAATGAGAGTATCAGAAGAGGAGCTACTAGTAGGTCAAGCACTTCAACTCGATAGGAACTAGGGGCTCTTAGGTTTTAGACATATTTGCCTATCTCATCTGTGTACAGTAGTTTCACGTGTAATGGTTGCAACAGAGGTATAACCATTTTCTGAAAGGAGAGCTTGAGGGAACGTGCTTTTGCCCTCCTGTTCCATAAACCCTGGTGAGTTGGGGCTGAACCAAGGTGTATGTGGGAACTAGGCCAGGCTGGACTGAGTTGTGTGGAGGGAAGTGGCCTGGGCCAGAGTGGTAGGACAGCAGGGGCTGGAGCCCAGTGGCGGTGACCTGGGTGCTGGGCAGTACTGTTTCCTAAAGACAAAGGTTACTCACTGTCCTCCTCCGATCCATCGCCCCTAGACTTCATTGTCTTCAGAATAAAGTTGGGCATTTGAGAGTCCCACAAACCATCGAGCCCCCAGATTTTCTCTCTGCCCACCCCCTCCCTCCTTTTGAAATCCTTTCCATTCATAGAAGACCAGGCTTATGCTCTTCCAGCAAGCCCTTCCTGCTGAACCCCCTCCATCCCTTGCATATTCCTTATATTAGAATACTGGAATATGAAATATTAGAGCCCATATATTTCATTCTACTTTGTAATGCAGTTAGTTGTTCATCCCCTGTCTCCTCCATTCAAGCAAAAGAGAAGGGATGGAGACCAAGGTATGTGTCTCCCTCACTGTTTCCTCAAGGATCTTGACATAAAAACCAGATACACACATAAAATTTGACTTTATTTAGAATATTTAAGAGGAATATACCAAGGATAGAATAACAGCACCCATTTAAGAAACACAAACATCACTTAATAATACTTAGTTAAATCACAAACATCAATTTCTCCACATTTCCCAAGCAGGAGTCCGTTATTCTTTTCCAGCAAAAGAAAAAAAAAAAGGCATTGTAACCATTTTAGAAAGGATCCAATTAAAGCCAACCAATATGTGAAACCTTGGCCTTGGGCAGAGTCTCTGGGACTACTGGCCCATGTAACAGTGTTGATTTATGAATTTGATTGGGATGTGAGTGGGGTTCTCTTCTTGCTGAGGGGAGGAGGATAAAGCCTACCTCTTTTGTGCACCTGAAGATAAGTCGTGCCAATGGGAACTTGGCCCCAGGACTGTAGTTTGACAATCCTTTGAAAAGGCACTTTTCAATTACAAATTCTTTTTTTTTTAAAGAAAAATGAAACTTTTAAATTCAAACGTTAAAATATTAAAGAGAACTGTTTATTGATTAAATACATTTTTCCGTTTTCAGTTTCAAAGCAGTCCACAAAATTTGGTATTAAAGGCAGTTTTAGAAACAATTTAATGAGGGTATATATAGTTTTTTTGTTGTAATATTCTGAAAATATAGCAAAATCATCTTATAGTTTTCCTTTCTTGTCTGGCACAAATTCCATTGATATAGTACTGTAACTATCAAACACCGTAGCTGTGACCCCATAGAGGAGTCCCACTACCTTTCTATCTAGCCATCCATGCTGTCTCTATCTTGTCTCTCAGACAATCAACCAAAGGGGGAAAAACAGAGCAGCCTTTTTCTTTTTCTGGGTTTTGTTACTGCTTTAGGAGGGCACGGATGGTCACATTATGGATCTGCCAAGCACAAAACCTGTCAGTTCACGGTCAGGTGTTGGTTGGGTCTTCAGAGTGCAGTATTCTTTCCGTCCTGCTGACTGGACTCTACTTGCTTATCCTGGAGTCCTTCCTTTTTAATGGAGAAGGATGGTCTTCTTTGAGTTTGCATTCTATATATTCAGTGAATAGAAAACAGGCATACCAGTGCCAAGCGTGTGGTGAAAAACTGTCAGCAAGGACTTCAGCCAAGATGATTAGTTCACACTAATGACCAATTGTACCAGAATAAGTTCTCACCTGTCATATATCATATTAGGGATTTAAGGAATGAAAGGCACCACTTCCTGCCACCCCACCTTGGCGCCATTTTACATATCCTGTAGTATACACTTTAAATTTAAAAAACAAGTGTACTATGTTCTACATCAGAAACTGACCAAAGTGTAGGTCGCACATAGAATTTGGCATGCATTTTATTAACTAACTTTACATGTACATACTACCTTTGAGGACGACACTATCTACAAACACATACGATCTAATATCTAGCACCGTATCTCCTAGAACACTTACATTTTATATACAGTTATAGTTTACATTTAGGAGGATTACTACAAAAAATACCACGTCACTAAAACAAGACGAAAATACCAAACTTTTAACATCAAAGTTGTAGCACAGATGAAGAGGGGGGAAATCCACTTACGTTTGAAACATCAAACTAAAACCAATCTTGTTTTTCTCTACATTTTAGAACAAGACAGATAGAGTAATTATTCCTCAGACACAGTAAACCTCCTGCTGAGTGTCTAAGTCACTGTGGTTTTCCCTTGGTGTGCGTACTCTGAGATATGGAGGCTTTGGGAGGCAATGATGGAAACACTTGACACCTATTAGCAACCTTCATTTACCTTGAGGATTCTTATTCTGTTTACCAAAGAGCAGTGAACTTGTCAGTGACCTGGCAATCTGTGGCCAGGTTCAGTGGATTTTAGCTTTCCTGTTTCTTCCTCTTTCAGTGGATTTTAGCTTCCCTGTTTCTTCCTCTAGCCAGTTTTGTTGCTTATGGCAAAAGACAGCTATAAGCAAGCTGGGCATTTGCCGTAGAGGAAGAGATCATTGCTAAGTAATTGGAAAGAATTTATGACAAGGATTTCTCTTCTTTTTGGATTTTAGACTATCACATTTGCTGTTTCCAGCTCATTGCTTCTGTCTCCTCATACCTTAGCTTAGAGGGGCTTTGAGGGCCGAGATCACTAGTCAAGCCCACGGAAAGTAAGAGAAAGAGATAAGGAGGGAGAGGGTTAAAAGCCATTGGCTGGCCAGATTTTCTCTCCTTATCTTGGCCACTGGCTAACAGCCAACTGTTCCTGTAATCTTTTGTCTGCTCTAGAAGCAGAAGAAACCTCTTCTAGAAGCAGAAGAAATCTCTTGCTTAGAGAAACCTCTCCTGACAGCATGAGGTCTGCCTCAAAGAGGAATACAACAGAAGAGACATTATGATGGGAAAACACGTTATTGTTTTTTTCTTCTCAAAATATTGGGCAGGGTGGTTATGAGAGAAAAATACAGTCCAGTAGTTTAAATTGTTACTCAATTTTTTATCCCAACAACTCATGAGAGTTTTATCTTGAGAGTTCAAATTACCAGATGATGTGTATTATTATTTTTTCTTCCAAATGATGTATTTCTGACACTTTTAAAAGCTTTTTGGCAAAGTCTAAGTAAGCCTAGTTTAATCATGTAAATTATCCTTCAGGTAGTATGAAAAAATCTTTTTGAAGTAACTTTACCTAGCTTAATTGACTAATTATGTATAAAATAAGGCAATGTTAGGCATCTTATAATTTTGTAGGTAAAAGATTTTTTAGTGTTTTATTTTTGCTGAAATAATTGGACAGTATCTACAGGATTGACTATTCCCCCACTGATGTGTAATATCGGGTGCTTTTTTGGTAAAAAATGAGGCGCCTACCTTCTACTAAATAATAACTGGCACTTTTCCTTACCTGTTGAATTTGAAGTAGGTATCCCGTCATCTCTAAACTGGTGTGGAGTTGGGTAGGAGACAGAAAAATACCTTTCATTGCTGGTCACTCCTATGGCTCACTTCTCTCCTTCCCTGCTTCCATAGGCCCCCAGGTCCCTGTGAATCTGTCAGCTCTGGGTTGGGAAGGGATGGATGGGGAGTAGGTGAACACGCAGAGCTTCAAGCATGGACTATTCCTGAAGGGCCAGTGCAGCAGAGGGAGAGGGAGTGAGGCAGGTGAAGGCAGTGGGCTGATGGCAAGAAGTAGGCAGGGAGCTGGAAGTGCAGAGGCCTTCCAAGCAGCTGGTACTTGT